CATTGTGATCATTGAAGAAAGTGCTTCTCTTAGAGAATAAAAGTGAGAAAGTTAGATCCATAGACTCTATTGTATGTACTAAGGACTAAACTCCAATCTTTTTCTTTTGCCCAAATTCCTTTCTAAGGGGGCCTGGTGAGTCATGCCTACAAATGATAAAATCTCACTAAACAGGTTTTGTTAACCCAATACAATGTGGTTTACCTCCCAGCCTGATTCTGTATAGCATCACATGAAAGATAGAAGACCCTTATCTTAACTCAAGCATTTCTTTCCGCTGACTCCTGGTCTTTTAGACAAAGCATTACTCTTTCAGCCAATTGTCAATTAAAGAATCCCCTAAACCCACCTATGACTTATAAGCCCCCACTTTGAGATGTCCCACCTTTTTGGGCCAAACCAATGTTTGCCTTCCGTGTATTGATTATGACTTTACCTGTAATTCCTGTTTCCCTGAAATGTATAAAACCAAACTGTAACCCAGCCACAGTGAGTCCACTTGCTCAAGGCTTCCTGGGTGTGGCTCCAGGTCATGGTCCTCAAATTTGGCTCAGAATAAACCTATTTAAATTATTTTACAGAGCTTGGCTTCTTTTTCGTTGACAAGATCAGCCAGTTGCTCTGTTTCACAGTTTTTTTCATTGCCCATGTGAAGGAAGTTTGTGAAAGGGAGAAAAGTTGCCACACTCCTGTACAATATGATGATTTCAAATTCTTCTGATATTTAGCTTTCATGTGAAAGTGTCAAACAACTACTAGTGCAAACATAGTTTTAACAGCAGGGTTAAGAGTTCAGGTATTTCCACCCACCAGAGACACATTCTCTAGTTCATCTTTCTTATTTCCCTTTATTCCCTCATTTCTCAGATAAGGGTTGGCGTAACTTCAGTCCTAAGACAAGGTAAGACTAAGTAGAAAGGCAAATGTTTGTATAAATGTGTTAGTGTGTGTGTATGTTTTGGGAGAAGTGATTTAACTTCTAGAATAATAAATTCTTATTATTTTTTCACCAAGCCCTTAGGTATCATGTAATGGAATGCCTGCCCATATTTTACATTTAAGTAGACTGAGGCTAGAGAAAGTGATTGCCTAAGATCATATCAATAGTTGGTAGCCAGGCGCAGTGGCTCACGCCTGTAATCCTAGCACTCTGAGAGGCTGAGGCAGGAGGATTGCTTGAGGTCAGGAGTTTGAGACCAGCCTGAGCAAGAGTGAGACCCCGTCTCTATAAAAATATAAAAATTAGCTGGGTGTTGTGGTGTGCACTTGTAGTCCCAGCTACTTGGGAGGCTGAGGCAAGAGGCTCTCTTGAACCCAGGAGTTTGAGGCTGCTGTGAGATAGGCTGATGCCATGGCACTCTACTCAGGGCAACAGAGTGAGACTCTGTCTCAAAAAAAAAAAAAAAACAATTGTTAATGGTAGATCTGGGACTAAAACCTGTGTTCCATGACCCCCAAATCAATGGTTATTACTAAATTATTTATCTTTCCCTTTTTAATTCATAATTCACTAGTATTGCTACAGATACAATGGCAAGAGTTTAGAGGTATGAATAATTAATTATTACAATGATTTTCTTATTTAAAGAAATGTTGCTTTTATGTGTTTTAAAGAATTTGGTAATTATAATTATTACAGATTGAAGAAGAAGAGAGGAAAAAAATAGAAGATATGAAAGAAAATGAACGGATAAAAGCCACTAAAGAATTGGAAGCTTGGAAAGAATGTCAAAGAAAAGCTGAAGAACAAAAAAGAATTCAGAGAGAGGAGAAATTACGTCAAAAAGAAAAGCAAATTGAAGAAGAAAGAAAAAATTTAAAACATAAAAGTCTTCCTAGAAATTCATCTAGGTATCTTGCCACAAAAGGTATAATGATTACTTTAATATTTTCTGGAAAAGTGAGTCCTTTTGGTGAAGTATATATGACACTTTTTTAGAAATAAATCTGTTCACAACATTAGGTCATTATTTTACTATATTG